TTGTTCGCAGTGTTTGCTTGCAAGTGGAAAGGTAGGCCTTTGTTTTTGGTTACTTATTGTACACACATTCCATTGCCAATCTAGTGTGTTTACGTAAGCATAATCTGACCTCTTCCTTTTTCCGTGTACACGCATGGGGTTTTTTTTGGCGTATTCAGTGTACATACATATCGATAGTAAATCCTTCGTGTGCACCTTTCTATGCATAATTATGCAGAATCGAGTGTCGTTGTATTCTTGTTCGTGTGCTCATTTCAATGCACCTTGTACAGAGTGGGTTGACTCGGTAGAGGAGATACAGTATAGTATGTCACGAGTCAACAGTCGGATGAAAGAACTGCATACACTGCATGACAAGCACCTGAATAGACCGAATATGACCGATGGTAGGGAGGAGGAATATGAGATAGAGGTGATGACACAGGACATCACACAGGTATGTTTGTACGCGTTGACATGTTCCCGCTATCTCGTATATCTGTATGTAGGTGAGTGTTGACATGTACGCATACGACTACTTAGATGCTCATCAGTATGCGGATATGTGCTTGTAGACTCAATTGGGGTTCAAGTATATTGTAGATATTGGGGTGGGGTTGTACGAGTTTAGTATTTTGACCCAGAATAGCATACGGGCTAACTAAATTTCAGCTCCCTTGCTACTGTATAGCCAAGGAATGCGCTATGTTTGTCCTGCGTGTGGGTGTTTGTGTATACCTGTGTTACGGACAGATCCATATAATCAAAGGCAGGAACCACACATATGGGAGTTTAGAGTTTGTATTTCATTTCTGATGCTAAGAGTCATCTTGAATATTGGGGGCTTTCTTCTGTGTGGTGTCGTCAGTGCTAAAATCTCACACAGATTCCCTAAAACCCTAAAACCCTAAAAACCACTCGATTCTTGCTCTTCTTCTTACCTGGTAAAACGGTTGACATTGGCCTTCTATCTACCCAAGGACCTGTAGTTGATCCCCACACCACCTCGTTGAGTATTTCGTCTTTCAGACACCAACAACAATCGTCCACTAGATCTTCTTCACCCCTAAATCCTAAAACCGTAAAACCCTAAAAAACCGCTCACAGATGTTCCAATCGACACAACAAGCCATCCAAGGCCTCAACTATCGGTCACGGCAATGCGAATCACAAGCAGAGCTCAAAATGTGCCGAAATGTCATCACTGCCTTGGCGTCAGAATTACAAACTCTGTCCCAAAGTTTCAGGCGCGCGCAGTCCACCTATCTGCAAAGTATGAACAGACGAGTATTCGTTGATCTCTGTGTAAAAGTGTGCTTGAACGGATCTACTTGCTTTCATAGTGTTGATTTTAATCCCATCCGCAAGCAACAGCTAGTTGGTTTTTGACAAGACAACAAGTCCAGGTATATATCAAAATATACCTGTACGTAGAGTTTTTAACAATATGGCCAGGTACAAATTGAAATACACATGCACGTAAAGCCGAACTGTGGTTCCAACTGTCGCTGATGTATATATATTCAGGACCGACGGAAGCTACGTGCATATATAGATGATGTAAGAGAAATGGTGTATTTGGATTAGTTCAAGTACATCCACGTGTATATTCATTTATTGCTAGTTCGTTCTTGTCAAATGTACGGCCGCCTGTGTTTATTTTTAGCTATACTATGTTCCTGTTTGTCCAATAATGATGAGATCTATTCTGACATACCTCTTTTTGATCGCAGAATTTCAGAAGTAGGCTGAATTTAGACAAAATATTGAGATTCAAAAAATTGGATGAAGTTTCTGCATAGTAAACACAGTTCCGGTTACATCTAAGTGTCAATCTTATTATTTGAGTTTGAAAATATGTAGTGTGCAAAACCGATTTTAAAGACGTCTTATACGTAAGGAAAGGAAAGTTTGTACACCTAAGCATAAGTGCATGGATATGTCCTGTGTATCTTTAACATATTTCTGAATTCAAATTATATTTTCCCTGCAACTAATCCACATAGTATGTACGAGAGTAGCATAACGAGGTAAGGTATTAGGTTTTGGTGCAATACATTGTAATTTTCTGTGATATTTGGCACGTATCATGCTATGTGAACTCATGTCTGTATGCGATCGGCACAGGAATAAGGGGGAGAGAAGAACAGAAGAAGAAGCTATTTGGCGAACAGGCTACTATGCTCATGGAGGATGAAAGTGGGAATGACGAAGTTGAGATATATGATAAGGTACCAAGAGTTCACGAGTGCGAGTTTGTTGACGCTATAACACGTGAACATGCTGTGAACATAGTGTGGTTGAGTCATTATATTAACAAGTATAGAGTTGTGCTTGTCGATCGATTTGTGTGGTACTGTCTGGGTTGTAGTTGCGGGGTACTGAGCTGTACTGATCTGGGCACGTATTATAGTTTTGTCGCTTACGAATTTTGTATGTATTCAGCACGCATGTTTCTGCTAATAGTTTCCATCAAAAGAATCAATGCGCAACCATTCCATCCGTATGTTAACTCCAAGGCCCAAAACGCTTGTCCATATCATTCTCCTCGTCTGCTATAAAATGCCGTCATGCTAGTTGTAATGTGGCCAACTTGTTGCCGCTCCTCTTGTTTCGAACTTGGGTTACTAGGAATTCACGACGCCTCTTGTTTTGAACTTGGGTTACT